ACCTGGTTAGATTTAAGAGATGGGAAAAAAAAATTTCTTAATGTTTGGTAAGTATATCCTTGGAAGATAACGCAATGTCTATAGAATCCATGTTATTCACTATTATCATTATTATATTGAGCCTGGAGATCGTTATCATTATCAATATTCACGGTTTTAAGATTATCATTGACTCCGTCAAAAATCATAATTCCTATTGCGCCAAAACATAAGTTGTCATTAGACTGGGGATAAGAGATTGGAAATAAGGCAGTGTGAGAAATAGTCTGATATGTCCACGATTTCTGCTCTAGTTTAAACCATATTTAAGCATGTATTGCAGATGTTCCTTTAAATGTTTCTTGTTTTTGCTGAGTGCAAGAAAATCTATAAACGTAAGATTGATCAAGTCCATGTCCTTCAGACATTTTGCCAGCCAATAGTATTTGGGGATTCTTCGCCTTCCATAATCCGGGGTCCACTCCATGGACGAAAATATCATATTATCTCGTGAATGTCTTAAGCAGTGGCCGAGTAATTCTAATCTCCTCAAAGGAATGAGTCTTTTGATAGGTAGGATGTCGCACCTGTTCCAGAGAGTTGTGTTTGGGGTGTTGTATGGATAGTAAGTTTTAGTGATTCTTCTTAAGCACTTGTTTATGAAGGTCTGGGATGTGTTGATGTTGCTTTTAGTGTCCTGCCATGTTTCCAACCCGTATGTTAAGATGGGTAGAATTAGGGATTTAAAGAGTCTTATTTTTAGGTTCGTAGATATCTGGTTGGACGACCATAATTTAGTTAGCTGATGATATCGGGATCTGGCCTTGTTGGTCCTCGACTTAGTATCCAAAATGGTGGTGCCTAATGACATTATTCTGGTTCCTAGGTACTTAAAATCCGAGACCGTATCTACCACATTATTCTCAAAGTTAAAGGGGTCGCTGTTATATAGAGGGATATTGGATACAATTTTTGTCTTTGAGTAGTTGACTTTCAGTCCGTATCCAAAGCAATTTTTGACAAACAATGACAGCAAGTTTCTTAAATTGTACTCAGAGTTAGCTAATATGCATACATCATCGGCATAGCATAGAAAATTTAGAGAGTTGTGTATGTTATTATCATATTGTTGATTCAGATATTGAGGGTTAAGAGCATGTTCTTGTTTGAAGGATTTATTCAGAATATCGTTCATTATTACATTAAATAGCATAGGTGATAAAATGCATCCTTGTTTCAGTCCTCTGTTGGCCTTAAATGGTTGTGATTTTAAGTTCAGATGTTGTGGTATCACGTTATGATTATCGTATATTATTTTTTTAAGCGAAATCAGATGTTTATCTATTCCTATGTCCTCCAGTAAGGGCCAGATCTTATGCTGTATGATGGAGTCAAAGGCTTGACTTAGATCAATCATTAGGGCAAATATTGGGGACTTATGCATTCTAGCTTTCTCCAGAATAACCTTAAGCGCCATGGTTAGTTCCGTCGTGTTCCTGCCCTTCCTATATGATGTGATGGCGTTTGAGAGGTTTCCATCGATGATTGGTTTAATCCTGACGGCTATAATATACGTGAACATTTTTAGGGTAACTGGGATCTGTGCAATTCCTCTGTAGTCCTTCAGGCTAGTCGGGTTCTTATTTTTAGGGAAATTAAGTATTATCGATGTCATCCATTCCTCTGGGAAATTGCCAGTATTCCATATCTCATTAAAGAGGGGAAGCAGTAGACTAGCACTTAAATCAGCATCTATCTTCCAAAGTTCCGCAAAAATCCCATCGATTCCGGCTGCTTTATGGGTTTTTAGTCTTTTAATGGCATTGATTATATCTATTCTGTTCATTAAACAATTAAATGAAAAAATGGTGTTAATTAAATGAATGTAAGATATAAAAATTGTTAATTAAATGAATGTAAGATATAAAAATTTTCGCTAAATAATAACCATTATAATAATAATATCCATATTTAACAGATAGTTTATTTGGAAAACAATGTATATGATTGTTTGCAATATATAGATTTGGTCGATGAATTGTATTATAATAATACTATAATAAAAGTATTAATTTTTACAGCAATAAATTTTGTCTTATTTCATCTCAAAATTTAATAGATAACCCCTCAAAAAAATTTATCCTACCCCCATTAGCAACTTACCCCCTACCCCCTCAAAAAAATAGGATGCAAACTGTTCCTACCCCTCCCGCTCATGTAGACGCTGAACTCATGCCTCGAGACTTTGCGATTTTTTTGGACTGTTAGGGTTAAACAACATTACAGGCATGAAATCAGAGACCTGCAGAGATACCATTTGCACGTCCCGGATTAAAAAAAATTTTAGGCCCGACCCGGCCCAGATATTTAAAAAAAAATATTTTGGGGGCCTGGCCCGGATTTTTTTTTTTAGCCCGGCCCGGGTTTAAAAATTTTAGGCCCGGTCCGGACATTTAAGAAAAAATTTTGAGGGAACCCGGCCCGGTCTGGATTTTTTGAAAAAAATTTTTTTTTTAGACCGGGCTCGGAATTTTTTAAAATTATATTCGACCTGGTATATACAAAAAATTTATCTATTTAGTATTTTATCATTTTTTTCGGCGAGTATTATCATTTAATAAGCAAGTATATTGCCGATTTTTAAAAACGGCTAACTCAATATTTTCGCCAGAAAAATATTGACTAAGCTTCGAAATTTCGATACTATATGTCTAGACCTTTGCTCCTTCTATGAGCAAAATTTTCAGGCTTGAATAATATTTTTCTGGATAAAAAACTAAGTTAGCCGTTTTTACAAATCGGCTCAAAACGAGCCGTTTAACAACGCTATTTTATTTTATTTTTTTCTAAACAGATATTTAGTATATTACAAATTGATACTATAAAAAATATGAGTAAATAATATTTTGAGAATATACTATATTAATTGTATTTATAAAAAAAAATAAAACTGATATTTTAATTAATAAAAAAACATATATTATATAATAATGTATTTAATCCTTTGCGTATTTATTCCATGGCAGGAAAATTATAATTTTATTATGTAATAGATACTATGAGTGTTAGCTAGTGTTAAATTTCACCAAACATTATATTAATCATAACTATAAAATCATTATAACCATATATAATTGACGATTATAATAATTCATGTTGTATAAATTTTTTTAAAAAATACGGCCCGGTTGTTTTTAAACAAAATTTTTCAAGCCCGGTCCGGGTTTTTTTAAAAAAAAATTTTCAGGCCCGGCTCGGGTATATTTTAAAAATTTAAAATACGGCTCGGCCCTGATACCCGAGCCGGACCTGCAGGTCTCTGGGTACAATTTTAACATTTATTTTAAAGCATAAGTAATATATAAGCTTTCATGATAGGAAATAGTTTTGTTAAACTGCTCGATTTGAACAGATTTTTAAAAACGAGACTCATTTTATTCAGAAAAATTTTACACAAGTCTAAAGATTTTGGTCATAGATAGCACGAAGGTTTGGACATCTATTAGCTAAATCTCGGCTTAGGCTATATTTTTCTGGCTATAATATAGATTTAGCCATTTTTAAAAATTGAGGATTATTCACTCTACTTAAGAAGAAATAATAAATTGGGATATTTTTTATGAAGTTCATTTTTAATGATTCCTATTAAAAAATTTATCAAGGTTCTGAATCTATCAAAATTTTCAACCAGGTTCTGTCCGGGTCCGGGTTCTGGCAAAATTTTAAAAAGGGGTTCGGTCCAAAGCAGGTTTAATAGGCCAAACCCAAACCCAGGTTTGGAATCCGAGGTTAGGATTCGATCCAGATTTATAATTTTTTTAAGAAAATACAAATCAAAAATATATCAGTAAATAAATGTGAGACATTGGATTTTAAAAGAAACTTAAAGATTTGCAAAAATAATTTATTAATAAAAATTTGATTATTGATCTTCAAGAAAAATATTATTAATTATATTTGTATTTTTATAAGTCTCTTTCCCTTTTTTAGTAGATTTGTTAAAAAAAATATTTTACAAAGAAAATCTGAGATTAAAGATTAAAACTTAAATTCAAAGTAGTAATTCAAAATATGTACTTGTAATTTTAATTATGATCATTTTAGTAATTATGAAATGATTATATTTATATTTATAAATTTGTTCAAATTAGTAAAATATTTGAGATATATAAAATAGCTTGAAATTTTTAGGCGTGCTCCAGGAAATTCGAAATATTTAATTTGTTACTATTATATTCTTTAATATTTTTGCTTTTTTAATGAATTAAATATTTATGATAAAGTGTCGCGTGATAAAATATCGCTAGGCGATATGATTATATACAGAATAGATTTGGTCGATGTTTAACAATATAGGTATGTATTACTATCTCTGCCATATCCCTATCTACCCCCCCCCTTCCTCGCCGATCATGTCGATACTAGAGTACTCTATTTCTGTTAAATGAATTTCGGTTTAAATTAGATTTTTCAAAGTGATCTCCATAAAGGATTTAAACTTTAGAAATTATGAATCACCATGGGTTCCATATCCCAATTTTATTATATGTCCATGATCCCAATACGACATATACATTAACTCAGACACCGTTAGAAAAACCATTGAAAACTAGTACTATGATTATAATAAATATCTTTCGATTAAATATAATATATAATTTTTAATATTATATTATAAAAACATGCTGCATAAATATTTTTCAATAAATTATTTACAATTTACTAACATAAAAATTTTAGCAGTATACTGAATAAAAATTTGAGGATTTTTTTAGCGAGCCTTTTATTAAATTCGAGGGAGTACAATGCAGGCTCTTCCCTCCCTTTATATAATTACGGCCAATAACTAACAATTTTAGTAAATGGTTAGAAAATATAAATATTTAATCACAAAACTCATAATAAAATGACTGTAATAATGTTTATTCTCTTTTATATTATGATTTAGTAATTATAAAATTTTATTAATACTGAACCAAGATCATATGATTTTATTAATAATTATAATATCTACATTACTTGTGCGATTAATTTTTTCACTTGATTTCCGATAATGAAATTCCGTGGCGATGTAATTTTAATTAAAGTACTAAATTCTTATTCTTCATAATTTAGTTAAAAGAATTCATAATAATTGGCCGTAAAGTTCCTCTCAATAATGAAAAAACTCCTATATATAAGATGCGGATATTTGCTCCTGATAAATTAGTTGCTAAGTCCAAATTTTGGTATTTTGCTGCTAAATTAAAGAAGGTTAAGAAAACATCTGGCGAAATTTTGGAAAGCACCCAAGTTAACCTTAATTTTTCATAAATATATGTTATATATTCAGATACAAGAAAGAAAAGCTTTGAAGATAAAAAATTTTGGAATTTTATTGAAATATGAATCCAGAAGTGGTGTACATAACATGTATAGAGAATATAGAGATTTAACAGCTTCAGGTGCCGTCACACAATGCTGTACATTTTAATCAAGTTTAGATATTTAATTAATCTTTTTAATAGATCGTGATATGGGAGCTAGACATAGAGCCAGAGCAAATACAATTCAGATAATTAAAGTAGATGAAATACCTTCCTCTAAATGTCGTCGGGTTAATATAAAACAATTCCATGTAAGTATAATTTATATGAACATAAAATGCATAGTGTTGAATTTGAGATAGAGATAAATTATTCTTGAATCTTAGTGATTGACACTTATATTATTATATTTAAGCTGGATATATTTCATTATTGTTATATATATTTATATTAAATATTACATTTATTATATAGGATAGTAAAATCAAGTTTCCTCTTCCACACCGTGTTGTACTGAAAAAAAATAGATCACTATTTTCAATTAATAGGCCTAAGACATTTTTTTGATGAAATGTATTATTTGATTGTTGTATAATTATTAATCTATTAAATTATTTTTATAAAAAGAATAGACTAAAATGTTTATATGATTTCTTTGTTCAAATGACTTATTTACTTTAAATTCTACTTAGTCAAGCTTTTAGTAAAACATTTTTTTTTGAATATAATCTTGGCTTTTGTTCGTAACATTTTTGGTGGAACATACAATAAAAAAACGAAGAATGATTTGTTCAATTATTGGAAGCTTGAGTATAATCAAATAGTATTATTTTTTTCTGTTATACCCAAAAACTTTTTATTCTCATGCTCTTCTAAAATTTTATTTATATTCAATGTTTTCATAATAATATATTAGTTATTACATCAAATATTTATAAATTTTTTAAAGGTTGTATATATTTGAATGGGATCTGATATATCACCCCATCAGGCCTAGAATGGTTATATTTTAAATGCAGTAAACTGATGAAGATAAATTATAAAGGTTTAGGTTAAGGAATATAATTTTATAAAAAAAGTGAATCAGGTTTTAAAACATTTAATATATGTTAAGGATTTCTATTGAATTTATCATTACATTTTTCTTCTTTATTCATGTATTTTGATTTGTTAGTATCAACATAACTTGAAATTAATAGATAAATATATTATTGGGTAGATATTTTTCCCTATTTATAAATCATTACATTTTTCTTCTTTAGTCATGTATTTTGATTTGTTAGTACCAACATAACTTGAAATTAATAGATAAATATATTATGGGGTAGATATTTTTCCCTATTTATAAATTAAATATAGAACTTATCAACTAAAATTATAAAAAAATTTACAATTATATACTTAAATAAATTTGTGCCTAATCCTGTTTTATTTTTATAATGATATTTTTTACTAATAGTAAAATATATAATTGACTGATCAATTTTTGATTATAAATCAAGCCAAACAATTTATACATAAACAGACAGGGACTTATAAATCTCAGATTTTTTTGTTAAATTTTAATAGACGATCCTGGAAATAAAATTTTGGTATATTTCATTAGATTTCAAGTTAATATTTTGATCGATACTATTTGAGAATAAATATCAATATGCTTCTATTTTAAGAGCTAAGATGCTAAATCTATATATCATGGATGTAAACGCTGGTATTTTTACTGGACCCTTTTTAAAAGTGTAGGGCTGGAAACCAATATTAAAAATTAGATTAACCCTTCAATACTCTGGTGAAAAAAATGACGTTAGTACTTGGGGGTTTAATATACCCCAATTTCAAATGTTTACATTCATTAATTTTATTTAATGTAGGGAGATAGAACTAACCTTAAACTTGATAAAATATTTATTTTTATTTCTTAAGCTTAGATAAGATGAGAATAATTATAATTTGTGCCAAAATTTTCTAAAAAAACTTACTTTTTTTAAATTTCAAATATTAAATTAAAAAAATAACACCTATCATAATCAAAGATTTTCCAGTATCATTGGCATGATAAATAATCTCTTCAATCATTTTTGGTGTTATGAACAAGTCAACACATTTTTCTGGAGTGTCAGCTTCTTTCCCTTATTCTTTTACTCCTGGCAAATGAATAACTAAATTTTGTTGATGAGTTCTTATTCTTTGATTAGTAAGATCTTTTTTGAGAAATGAGTCAGCTGGTGAAAAATAAAATAACTCCACCATAGAAAATCTTTACGTTTCTTTTTCATATATCTCATTCAAAATATAAGATATTAAAATTTGTTTTTATAAATTTTATAATATAGTAGTATATAATTTTAAAAACCTTAATAAAAAATTACAAATTTACTTTGGTGGGGTCTCACAAACCCCAATCAGTCACAAAATGTTTATAACTTAAAAACTACTCAAATCAAAATATATGAAATTTGAAATATAGATTCTAAGATATATTTGATGAAGCTACTGAAGAATCCAGATCATAATATTAAACCGTTTTTATGTAATATCATTTCTAGCATGCCTAGGGTTTCATATATTCCACAGAGTATTGAAGGTTTAACGAAATATTGTATTGGGTCTAAATAGTCTTGGTTTAAACAATATTTTCTATTTCTTGTAATAGTAATTGTTTTATATTAGTATTGGTTTAAATTCAAATTATTATTTAAAAGAATAGAAATAGTGATGTAAAAACCTATAATTTGTAGTTTAAAATAATCATGAAACATTAATGTTAAAAATGGCTTAGAATAAACTCAAATTTTACTCTAAATTTTTTAACTAGGAGTTTCAGTGATGTGAACAGGCGCGTAGCCGGAAATTTTCTACGAAGGGGAGGAGGGATAAATTTTTTTTGGAGCATTAAAAATTTATTGGAACCAATCATTTAAAAATATGATAATTTCAACCACAAATATATTGGAAAATACAAAATAAATATAAAATAAAACATTTTATAATTATTCAAAACTTATTCAAAATATCATTCATAAATGAAAATTTAATCTGCGATTGGGCCAATTTTTAAATTTGTGTTGGGGATTAGATCTCGATGAGTAAAGCTAGTAGTCTATTCAATCAATTTTAAGATTTCATACTTTTGATATTGGTTTTTATTCTATGTAATGAAAAAAAGGTCTTCTAGTTTCTTACTAATTGGTATCATTGCCAAAATATTCAGTAATTTTAATGAATTTGGAAAACTTATTAAGTTCGTCTTAATTCATTATAATATCCTAAATGAATAGATAAAAATTGATATGTAAAAATTTAACTTTAATAAAAATAAACCACAATTATACATCAATATTGCAGGACACTAACCTTTACAATCTCAGGAGCCTTAAAAAAATTTTATAATATTATTTTCAAAATAAATTACCTTTTTTTTAGCTAACATTTTGTAAAATTTACCATGTTTTTTTTAGCTAACTTACCCTTTTTTCAGTAGTATATAAAAAAATTGAGGGGGCTCTTTATACATTTCAGGGGACTCGAGCCCCCTGCCCAGGGTTTCGAACTGTTTTGTATAACGGTTCGGTTCGTTCCGGTTTTTAGTTTAAAATTTTATAAAGGTTTTGTTCCATTTCGGTTTTTTAAAAAAAAATCATATCGGTTCGGTTCGGTTTATAATTTATAACGGTTCTTTTCGGTTTGTTCCGGTTTTTATAAATTTAATTTTAAAAAAAATTAATCATTAACCATGTATATATTAATTTTAGAGAAAAATCTTTTTAGTTTATAATTTCTTATTTAATTTATCCATGATAATCTAATAGATATTTTTATTAAATTTAGGAAATATAAATTAGACAAATTAGTTTTTTTTTATTTCAAAATAAATAAGATAAAAACAAACATGCGTAATAATATGTATACTATACTATTTAGGTTTAAAAAAAGAATTCGAACGGATAACTAAATATTTTCTAATATTTCAGGATTTAATTTAGTTCTCTGCGCAGAGAGTATAAACTTAAGGCTTGAAAATGCTCTTTATACGGAGACCTGCATAGCTGGAACTGCTAGCACAGTTATAGCTAACTTATAAAGTTCTGGCATACTATTCTTTACATTTTCCCAATAATTCAAAAGATTAGTATCTTTTTCTAATCTCTCTATATTATCAAATGACCGAATTATATATTCTATTTCTATACATTTATTATAATTTTCGATGCCCTGAGAATTATTCTTATTAAGACTTTCATGCGACTTTAATAAATCTTCAAAATCATCACCTAAATTATCCTTCGAATACGAACACGTAGGCATAGTATTTAGAATTTCAATATTCTGATTATTTAGATTTTGTATCAAGTTCCAAGTTTTACAAAGATGTTTTCTGGCGATCTCTCTTTCTTCAAAAGTTAAAAATACATTATATCTAGGGTCGAGATAAATAGCAGAGCAAAAAACTTCATTTTTGAAATTTATTTCTCGTGCTTTCATCGTAGAAACTAAAAGTCTGGCAAATGGAGTGTCTACTTTACTCGTTTGCATGAGACATTTGATCCACGCAGCATAAAAATCGCCCATGGTCAATTGTTCACTTTGTAAATATTTTGTCAAAACATAAGCTGGATATAAACCTTTTAATATGTCACTAATTATTTTAAGATATCTTATTTAATTAACAGATAAATTGTCTAATCTATATAAATTAAGTATTTAAAGAAAAAACAACAAACCTGGTATTATTTGATATATAATGTTGATAATATAAAAATATTTAATTTGATATATAATGTTGATAATATAGAAATATTTAATTTGAAAAGAAATCACCAATTTAAAAAATGCCCCTAAGGAAAATTAAAATTTTAAATTTAGGTTAATAATTTAAAATTAATTATTTTTAAAACCGTTTTGAACCGGTTTAAACCGGTTCAAAATATTTATAACGGTTCGGTTCGCTCTTTTAATATTTTCTTCATAACGGTTCGGTTAAGGTTACGGTTCAGAAAATCATAACGGTTCATTCCGGTTTTGCGGTTCGGTTCGGTTCGAACCCCTGCCCCTGCCACCCCCTAGTGACTACTGCAATAATGATATGACAGTATAGAAAAGTTAGGCACTAAAGAAATATTGTATGTAATAAGTTTAGAAAGCAAAAAAATATAACGCGATATAATAACCCACCAATCAAATATTTATATATATATTTATAATATTGGGATTAGTAATGGCCCCATTCCTAGTTCTAGGTGCCAAAAATTTTTATTTTGGCATTTATCAAAATTGGTTTATATACTATTGTATAGGTAACATCTTGCTTTAATTTATATAAATTTTAGACATGAAATATTCTAAATTTTATAGTAACTGGGGTTTCGCCCAAGCCAGGCCCAGCCAAAGGGACTTTAGCCTGGGACAAATGTAGCGGAATCAGAAATGACCATGAATCATAAATGAGAAAATGGCGATGCATCACAAATCATGAGATACAAAAAGGTATAGGGCCGGAGAGGTATATTTACAAAAAATCAATTTATATATTGCCATGATATAAATGAATGTAACTTCAGTAGTTAATTTTATTGAGCAAGAACAATGAGAAATAAAAATTATACAAATATTTTCGAACATGCAAAATAATAAGTATATGTAAATAAGGACGAATATTATAGCAATTTGGCAAGGCTTCTATAAAGTAGGATCTTTAAGAATAGATATAGAATATTATTTACTACATCCTTTTAACATTTTCCCCTATTGGGAAAATGTGGATGTAACCGGATATCTCGGTTTTTATGGCT